GTAAAAACCCCAGGAGGAAAGGACTTAAGTTTTTTTTCTCCTGTCCATCACAATTATTCCAGGATTCATTTCTTCTGTATCTCTCAGCAATACATGTTTAAAATAACAGACTGCCATATTAAACCAATTACAGAGAGCGATCATGCCCCTGTCATTTTAAGAATAGATTTAGGGGGCGCCGCTATAGCTCACCTGGTAGAGCTGGTGTCATATGTGTAGGGCTACAGTCCCAATGTGGAGGTCATGAGTTCAAATCCTGCTCATGACCCTTTCACACATGTCCTCCCCCTACTCTTCTCCCCCACTTTCCTGTCTCTCTTTCACTGTTCTATCGAACAAAGGCCAAAAAAATAACTTTAAAAAAAAAAAAGAATAGATTTAGAAATTGTTCATCCAATTCTTTAGTTGGAAGCCCGAGAACAAACTGGAGAAATCTTCAGTTCACAGATGTAATTTTATTTAGGTCACAGGTAAAGTGAGGCAGCGCTGGGTTCAGCGTGACAGACTCTCGCGAGAGCCCTATCAGAAGGAGCCCCAATATCCGGACATGTTTCACGTTTATCTTCTTGGGCTGGGACTGCCCCAAACAGAGGTTGGACTTGTACGCAACTGAGCTTAATTGGCCAGTTACTGTGACGTGAACAAGCCAACCACTGTTCACGTGGAGGTTCCCTGGAATGCAAACAGAAATTGCTTTGACCAAATACAAAGTGTGTGTGTGTTGTCCAAAAGGTGTGTATAGAAAGTAACAGTCCCACTGATAGAATAGAGGCGTTTCTGCTGTCTCCTAGTATGTGAACCAGTTCTAACCAGCCATGTTATCTTCAAGGACGTGCATTGTGCTCATGGGAAAAGTTATAATTATAACATTAGAGAAAACTTTTTTAGATATTGGAGATTAAACGTAACTTTACTGACGGACAAAACAATTACTCAAGAAGTCAAAGATNCTGCCTTTTAAGCAACGGCTCCGTTTCTAAAATTGTTCAGGGTCACAAACTGTACAAGTATATCAAGTTTTATGCTTTTATTTATTTATTTATTTATTTATTTTTTAAAAAGACAATTTTAACACATCACTTGGACTGTGTTACACTTTTATGCGCAGATTTTAAGGAACCTTAATAAAAAAAGAGGTTCAAGAAGGAAATGATATGCTTAGCTTTATAACCAACCTGATGCACAGTTCACTCAAATTACCAGATGGTTTGGACTTGTGTGTGGAGAGAGCGCACTGCTCCCTGACCATGAGACCAAAAGACAAATCCCCCCTCGAGATCCATTAACATTCCATTTTTAGACTACAGAGTTAAAGACAGGATACTTTGGCAGGCAAGGAAAGAAAATGGAGTGACATTTCAAGGACAGAGGATCTTCTCTGATCAGGATTATACAGTAGAGATACAGCAGACACGCAAGCAGGTAAGAGAGGTAATAAAGCAGCTCAAAGAGACAGAAGTGAGAGCCCAGTCTCTGTTCCCTGCTCAGCTGAAGATCTACTTGGAATCCGGCATAAAGACCTTCTCAAACCTTGCAAATACAGCACCTACCTTTAAAGAGATGGCAATCAATATTCAAGTGGATCACTGAGAGGACTTGCAGAGGGATCTCCTGTGCAGTTCATGGGCCTATAACAAGAGGGGCAGGGCCATCTACGGTGGTCACCACTGTGGATTTGCAGCACTTTGACAAAGATGATCATTGAACGTACTACTGAAAGTACTGAACTGAAAAAAGGTAAAGAAAAAGAAACTTCGAAGAGATGCGAGTAGACTGAAAAGACACTGTAAACCAGGATTATATGCAAGACTTGTTTGAAATTTGGCCAGTTTAAATAACAATATATACCAGTTATATTCATATTTGGGTTTTTCCTCCCAGAGGATTTCTACTTTGTTTTGTTTTTTGTCACAAGATAAGGGCAACTCTGCTCACAGCGATCTGCTATCAGATATCTGCGGTGACACTGTGTGTGTCTCCCCAGAGAGAACTTTGTCACAACTCTCCATCTCTCAATAACTGATCATT